AAATCCACAAAAAGTTCTTGAAATTGCGTTCCAAATAGCTCTACAAAATTCTACGTCTAGGTCTTCAAAACCTTAAAAAATATTCCAAAACTTCGGATAGACATTGACTTAAAAATTGCCTAAAAATAAATATGACCTGCAAAAATATGACCTAAAAATGTTGCTCCCAAAAATAAGTTTCAAAAATTCTCTGAGGAATCTTCAAGATATATATTTTTTCTAAATATCCACAAAGAATTCCTCAAAATATATTTCCAAAATTATTCATAAAATTCCACGAAGAGGTCTTCAAAATATTCTTTCAAAAAATATTCTTAAAAATTTGTTGAAGGTACCAATTATTTTTATTTTTAAGATAAATTATTGAGAATATTTGAAATAGTCCCAAAATTCTGAAATGCTGTCCAGTCCGAACTTTACTTATTTTTAATCCTCCAAAAAAATATTCTCGAAAGTTCAGAAATAGGCCTTCAAAGTAAATCTCCAAAAAATATTCTGCAAATAAAAATTCTTCTTCTTTAAGTCCATGAACGACCATCCATGAAGTCAAATTATTTCTTCTAAAATCCTCAAATAGACTTTAAAATAAAATTCTCAAATTCTCTACAGCTTAAGATTAGCTTATTTTTCATCTCTTTTTTTATAATTCCTTTACTGTTGTGGGGGTTTCGTTAATTTTCTTGGCATTCTGTTTTGTGGCCCCAATCATGAATTTTTTCAAAACTGTTATTTAAATTCGTAGTAGAGTATACGTTTTTTTTTTTCTCTCGTACAATTAACCTATTTTGACCGTTGACGTATGTTTATGTCCCTCATACTTACCTCGGCTGTCAAGCCAGACCAGGCCAGGCCAGGCCGGGCCAGTTAAGCAGCAGCGTTTGCTTTCTTCTCGAGTGCTGTGGATGGAGAGTTTAGTATGTAGACAACAGAGGCAACTTTTAACAACATTGGCCAAAGACGGTCCACAAGACAACAACAGCAGCAGCATTAACAACAACAATACGAGCGATTAAAATCGTGTCTAGAGAGGCCATTGAGGAAAAATGCGAAGAAAAAGGATTTGTCGTGTTGTGCTATTTTGTTGGCTGCTGTTGTGTTGGCCATGTGAATTTTATGGTTGAGCCCCCGAACAACAAGACAAAAATAAAGACTAGTAAAATAGCAAAAGCCACCGCCAACTAGCATAAAAGTCAAAGATATTTCGTTATTTTTTTTATAAATGAACAAGAATTGCAGCACAGTTTTCAAAAAACAAAAAAAAAATCTGAGAAAAACAAAAAAATTAGCCAAAGGAAAGTTAGGGTTATTTTCTTTGCCTTGGATATGATGCTCAGTTATCTTATGACTGTGTTTGTGTCTTTTCTTGAGCTTAACTGTATGTGTTTTTGCTTTGATTTTTTTCTCTCGTGCTCCCTGTTTCCTTTTAACCAAATTGGGGTTAAGTGACTTTCAAATTTTCACTTTAGCCCAAGTTTTGCATTACATTTGACCAATGTTAGGAAATGAGAAAAAAAAATCAAAACAACAGTCATGAATATCTACATTCATAATGAAATCTCTCCTTGTGTTCTACGAAACGAAACGAACGAAATGAATTTGTTAATGCCATGTACTAAATTAGTATTTTGTCTAGTTATTATTTGTTTGAACAGCAGCACTGTTTTTTTTTTTTTTTTTTGGTTTTTCTTTTTTTCGGGAAACATGTAATTGGCTTTTTAATAGAATTGTCAAACATTTTTGCAACAAAATGGTTATTAAGGTCAATGTAACGAAGCTAAGGAAAAAGAGTAACACAAAAGTTAGAAAGGTTTAAAATATTGAATTGAAGAAAAAGCCTAGGCCTACGCCTTTTGTTCAAATCATAAAATGGACAATGAAGTTATAGTAACTAGCTTCACGTTCTGACAGACACAGAGAAGTCATTGAAATTATCGTATTTAAGTCTCACAATTACCCCTTCAAAATAGGTATTAAAAATCGAACAAATTCTCCTCAGAATAGATTATTTTTTTTTATAATTTGAGTAAAGTCCTTTAAAGTAATCCTCCACAAATAATCTTAAAAAATTAAGGAATGATGCTCTAAAATAGTCCTTCAGAAATTACCATTATCAATACAAGAAATCTTTTTAAATAAATTTTCAAAAATACCCACAAAGGTTCAAGAATAGTCTTTCAAAATAGATCTCCAAAAATATGCCCCAAAATCCACAAATAAAACTTTTTTCAAAAATATTTTTTAAAATTATGAGTAATCCTTCAAAATAGTCAACCAAAAATATTCTTAAAATTCTGCGAACGGTGATATTATATAGTCTGTTAGAAGTATTTATACGTTTAAATAATTTTCCAAAAAAAAAAATTACCCCAAAAATTCAAGAATAATCTTTCGAAATATTTCTCCTAAGATGTTCTTAAAAATCTAATCTTAAAATCATTTTTAAAAGTCCACGATGAGTCCCTTAAATCGTCCTCCAAAATTGTTTTTAAAAATCCACGAATAGTCCTTTAAAATTGTTTTTAAAATCTACGTATATTCCTTTCAATCGTCCCCAAAATTGATTTTAAAAATCCACGAATAGTCCTTCTAATCGTCCTGCAAAATATTTTTTAAAAATTCATGAATAGTCCTCCAAAATTGTATTCAAAAGTCCACAAATAGTCCTTCCAATCATCCTCCAAAATTGTTTTTGAAAATTCACGAATAATGCTTCTAATCGTCCTTCAAATTTATCTATAAGATCCACGGATAATCTTCCAAAATCCTCCAAAACAGTTTTTAGATATTCATCAGTAGTCTTTTAGAATAGTTCTTCAAAAATTCTCCTTAAAATCCATGAATAGTTACTAAAATATTCCTCGAAAAATATCCTAAGAAAGCTTCAAATCGTTTTCCAAAATCATTTTTAAAAATCCACGAATAGTCCATCCAATTGTCCCTCAAAATTGTTTTTAAATATCCACGAATAGTTCTTTAAATCGTCCTCCAAATTAATTTTTGAAAATCCACAGATAGTTCACCAAAACGTTTTCCAAAATTGTTTTTAAAAATTCATGAATAGTCCTTCAAATTGATTTTTAAAAATCCGCAATAAGTCCTCCGAAATTGTTATTAAAAATTCACGAATAGGCCTCCTGAATTGTTTTTAAAAATCCACCAATAGGCGCCCAGAATTGTCTTTAAAAAGCCACGAATAGGCCTCCAGAATTGTTTTTAAAAATCTACGAATAGGCCTCAAGGATTGTTTTTAAAAATCCACCAATAGACCCCCAGAATTGTATTTAAATATCCACGAATAGTACTTCAAATTGTCCTCCAAATTTATTTTTAAAATGAATCGTCTTCCAAATTAATTTTAATAAAATCCACGAGTGGTCCTTCAAATTAATGTTAATAAAATCCACAAATTGTCCTTCAAATCATCCTCCAAATTAATTCTTGAAAAACCACGAATAGTCCTTTAAATCGTCCTCCAAATGAATTTTAGAAAATCCATCTTCCCCCAGATTTTTTTTTTTTTTTTCAAATTTTTCGAATTGTTCCTCAGAATATTAATAATAATTAATAAAGACTGCAAATGGTCTCCAAAAATATTCAAAAAAGAAAACCCCGAATAGCCCTTTAAATTGACCTTAAAAAATCCACGACTAGCCCTTCAAATCGTCCTCCAAATTGGTTTTCATAATTCGCGGATAGTCCTTCGATCTAGCTTTCCAATATTCCAAGAAGGATAACTTATTCCTGCTCTTCAAAAATATCTATTTCAAACCCCTCAATGTTCCTATTTTTGATAACTAATCTACCACCAATACTCCTTGGAGTAAATAAAATATTTTGAAAATCCTCTAATAGTTCCCGCATTAGCTCTCATAAAATGGGTCTGAAAAATACGTGGAAAAAAATTCTTTAAAAAAAATCAACGTTTATGGGTCTGAAAAATCCTTGAAAAAATATTATTTAAAAAATTCACGATTATTGTTGGGATGGTCTTTGAAACAATAATCTTAAAAAATTCCACGTTTGCTGATATTCTCTAAAAATCTCTGATCCTCCTTGAAAATATATTCTTTAAAAATGCGCATTCATGGTGGATAAAATATTTATAAATAATCCTATTTTTAGGTCGGATGGTGTTTCTTGAAAAAAAAATTCTTAAAAAATCTGCGTTTATATCTTAGAATGTCCTAGGAACCATATCCATTAAAAATCCTGATTTATTGGAATTATGGTCCTTGAGCGAAAATCCCCAGCTTTATTGGCCTGATGGTACTTGGAATTAAAATTTTGTCAATGTTTTTTTTTACTCACATTGTCCTTAGGTAATTAATTTCTAAAAATACCATTGGCCCCTGATTTTGATTTTATCCGGAAATGCTAAATTTCAAACATTTATTTCAAAATTATTGTCCCATTATTTCAAAGAAAAATTAAATAAAATATGGTACTTCCCATTCGCTGTGGACATTTAACGATACTGAAATTGTAATCAAAACTATTTGTAATTAAACTAAATACCTTGCAGCTAAATAAATAAATTAAATGGGCGTTTGAAATTTATTTCTTTTCTTTAATGAAACTCCAAAAAAAATTTGTATTCCACTTCAGCTTTCGAAAATGGTTTGACTCCAACCAAAAGAAAAACACGGACGACAAGTGCCTGTTACTCCTACTTTACACATTATCACGAATTTGCAACAACGTGTGTACAAAATTTCCCCCCTCGTGTTTTCTTGGTTTTGTTGCAAAATTAAATCGAAACACATTTTCATTTCGTTAGCTGGCAACATTGTGAAAGTTTAATTTTTGTTGGACCACGACTGATTTGAAATAACACAAACACACACACACACAAAGAGAGCCACTCAAGGAAATTTAAATAGATTTCGAGTACATTCGAACAAACAAAAAGGAAATCATTTTAACATAACTCCTCTTCATCAGCTACATGTTGTAAATGTTTAATTTCTCTTTTTTTGTTTTTCTCTTTCTCTAATTTTTAGATTGTACAAGTGACAGCTGTAGATGCAGATACCGGTAACAATGCTCGCATCACTTATCGCATTATCACCAACAACAACAACGGCCAATTGCAGTCGGGAAATGGTACCCTCATGAAAAATGCCAAGAAACAGAACAACAACAACAAGTTACTTTCATCCTCCATAGGCACCCAAACCTCATCCACCTCATCCTCCTCCTCCACAGCATCGGCGGGGGATAATGAAATTTCACAAATTTTTGGCATTTATCCAAATAGCGGCTGGATTTATTTACGTTCGCCGCTGGATCGCGAAACACGTGATCATTATGAACTACATGTGGTGGCCAGCGATAATGGGTCACCGCCAGCCCAGACCAGCACACGTGTGGTGGTTCGCGTACTGGATGCCAACGATAATGATCCACGTTTTCTGCGCCCCTCATACGAGTTCAGCATCGAGGAGAACATGAGCCGCGGCTCGCTGGTGGGCATTATTGGTGCCACCGATTTGGATTTGGGCGAGAATGCGGCCATCAGATATAGTTTATTGTCGGCGAATAGTTCATTTCAAGTTAATCCATTGACGGGTGAGTAGTTTTTTGTTTTGCTAAACTTTTTGCTATCTTTCGTTAGTTTCTATTATTCTATTGTTTGTTTTTATTTTTTGGTGTAATAAAAACAATAACATACAAAGAAAACAAAGCTAAAATATAGGCCACAGTCGGTGGCACCGACATTTGATACACTTTACAACTGCCCGACAAGAGAAATGAAATAAAACAAAAAAATATTAAAAAATATATATATAAAAAAATTAATAAATTAAAAAATATAATATAAACGATAATTAATTGAAAATTAATAAATAAATAAAAAATAGCAAATAATAAATTATGCAAAGTAAATAACAACTGAAAAATAATTTATAATAGATAACAAAAAATAAATTTTCAAATGGATTTTTACAGAATCCAATGAAGTTTTGAAACTCGGATTTTTTAAAATAATTTTTATAAAATCGAACGAAGGCTTCAAATGTGGGTTTTTAATAATTTTCTCAGGATTAAGTCAATGCATTATTTCACAACAAAAGGAGGTCTTAAAACGTTGTTAGAAAAGAAGGACCAAGAAGGAATAAAAACATAGGCATTTAAATAAGGTTTTAAAGGATCCAAAATTTAGGGAAACAAAAGGGATCTAAATACAGGGCGAGAAAAAAAAACTGCGACAAAGTCAAAGGCCATAATTTTTACATTTTTTCTAAAATTTTATTGAATGAAAGCAAAAAATATCAGAAATAGCATCAAATGTTAGAAAAAGTTTAGATTGGTTCGAATTGGTCAAGTTTTGGCACTAATTATGGCCTTCAAATGGCCAATGAAACCGCCACACGCTGCCTGAATGTTGCTCTGCTGTATTTTGGCCCATTCGCGGCGAAGCGCTTGTTTGAGGTGATCGACACTTTGGTATTTTTTAGTGCCAACCTTTCTTTCCAAAATACTCCAGACACAATCCGGAGATTTTGCGCTGGAAATGAAGCGAGGAATCTCATTTTGTTACCATTTATGGTTGGCGAGTGCTGAGTGCGATGGTGCTGAGTCCTGTTGGAATGTGCAAGGTCTGCGGCCAAAATGTTTGCGTGCCCAAGGCTTTAATACACCATCTAGAATATTTTCGCGATAATATTCGGCATTTATTCTGATGCCACGGTCGATTAACACGAGCGGAGAGAGAGAGAGTATGCGGATGATTGTACGATCATGGCGTCGGGTCCAGTGGTCGATGACATATGCGAAAGGTTGAACCCCTATCTCGCAGAGCTTGCCGCATACTTCCACGCGAGGAATATGAAAATATCCGCCACGAAATCAATGGCCACACTCTTCACCGCATGGTCTGCGGAGATGAGAACACAGCTGAATGTTTAGGTCGAGGGGAATCTAATACCGACCACGAACTACCCCAAGATTCTAGGGGTCACGTTCGACAGCATGTTCAAGTCGTCCGCGCAAGCCACAGCTATCTGCGACAAGATGAAAAGTAGGAACAAGGTCCTCAAGGCGCTAGCCGGCAACTCTTGGAGTGCGGACAAAGAAACCTTGTTGACCTCTTATAACGCGATAGGTCGGTCTGTGTTCAGCTATGCGGCTCCAGTGTGGTCTGCGAATACTAGTGCTACGCAGTGGAAGCATATCCAGACCTGCCAGAACGCTGCCCTGAGAACTGCGACAGGGTGCCTCCTCATGACACCAGTGGACCATCTACATGAGGAGGCGAAATTCCTTCCCTTACGTCAGCATAATCATATGCTTTCGTTGCAGTACCTGCTTGGGTGTTACCGTGAGAGTCATCCCAACCATCATATGGTGGATAAATCTCCTCCACCCAGGCGTGTCAGGAAGGACATACATGATCTAGAGAGGGAGGTTCAGCGCTATAAGAGAGAACCTCTAGATCAAGAAGCCTATCAGGCAGGTCTGAGTGGCATTCACACCGATGCAGTCGCAGATGCTATTAGCAGTTTTAAAGTGAATGCCGTCCTCGGAGTCCACCCCCATCCATTGCAGCTGAAGAACGTCAGCTGCCTAGACAAACCAGGGTAGTTTTGGCGCAATTACGTTCAGGATGGTGTAGTCGTCTCAATTCGTATTGGGCACGAATTGATGAAGATGTGCGTGACGCCTGCTCTGTGCGTGACGCTACACCTCTTTAATTGCACAGCCAAACCTACCCAACTCACTCCAGAAGATCTCTGGCTACAGCCCGTTAAAGTAGCCTAATTTCTAAACCTGGAGCTGGAACCAGATTAGCAGAACGCAAACACATATATGTACTACTGCTACAACAACAACGAGCGGAGAGCGACCATCGGCTGTTATGGCGGCCCACACCATCACCATGGCCGGCGCTAGAGTTCTGGTGGTCAACCAAAGGTGCACATTTTCAGCTGACCTCTTTGGCAGGTAAACACGATCATTTAGTTAGCCTTTGTTTACAAACTGCTGGACAATGACCTTTTTCTCATCCGAGAAAACCAAATTCGGCACTTCACCACTTTCGGCCAAGCGAAGTAACTCTTTAGCTCTCTTGAGTCTATTTTATGTTTGTTGCGGTGTAAGTTCTTCCACTTTTTGGAATTTCAACGGCATTACTCCGAGCTCGTTTTTCAATATTTGCCAAATGGAATATTGAGATATGTTCAGCTCACGAGCCATTTTTTTGGTCACTGCAACGCAGTTTTCGATCAAGTCGCTTCTTTAGCTTTCGAACCATTTCTGCTGATGTTGCTGTTTTCTTCCGTCCACCTCTTTGACATCGGGCTACGCTACCAGTATCACGGTAACGAGCGATGGTATGAGACACAAAAGATTTATTCACATTTTAATTCTGGAGTGCTCTAACGATAGCCAATTGTGGTTTTCCAGCCAAATATAAAGAAATCACACTATCACGCTTGAATTCCATCACGAATAACTTTTTTTCTGGAAAATTCTCACCAAAATGCTTTTGTACGCTTGTAAACAGTATAATGAGCTGTCACTGGAACAATTTTAACAGCTATCGGATGAGTGGCTTAGAAATGACAGCAGTCTGAAATTGATTGCAGCTTTTTCATCTTACCCTATGAAATGGAGTTATGGAAATATTCAATGCCTGTTTTCAATTTTTTCTTTGTGTTCTATTGAATGTAATTATTTTTTGTCACATTCCTGAACCTGTGTGGGATTTAATTTACATCGTGCGTCATTGGCTGACATTTCTGGAAAATTTTCTTTATTTTTCTTAAAAACACATAAGAAAAAAACTAAAAACCATGTAACCTAAACCTCTTCTTGCCACCAACAAAACACCCAACACAATAATAAACTCTTCAGTCAATGCTAATAAAACTGTTCATTTAAATAAATATACAAAAGCACGGCAGAGTAGATGGTGCGAGCAGATTGGCCAGCTATTGCAACAAAAAAAAAACAGAACCTCTTCGAAACGAACGAACAAACATTTCAATTCACATTCTGCCACTCCTCAAATGAACGAACGAAGGAATGAATGATTAATGTCTTCACCACCAAATAAATCGATGACAATGATCATGACGATGATGGTGGTGGTTGCGGTGATGATGGCCAGGTAGAGGAGGTGGTGAGGTGAGCTGTTTGGCAAAGAAAATGCCAAGAAACCCACCGAAAATAAAAAACATATCGAATGTTAAATTAACATAAAACGTTTTTCTACTAAACAACAGGAAAAACAAACGGTTTAGCAAGAAATGAACAGAGGACAAGTTAACGAAAGAATTGTACTTAGAAGTGCAATAGCCACAAATAAAAATGTGATAACTTTTAGGTTATAAGAACTTGTATGCACCCTATTAAAGGTCCTTCGAAAGTCTCTTATATATGCTTAGGTCTTATATCTATGGAACATGCCTTTTTAGTGTCCTCCATGTATAGGTCACCCTTAGAAGGATCTTATCCATAGAGTATTTTCCATCTGCAGCAGACCCTGGGAACACATTGTTATACCTCAGGCCTATGGATACAGAGGGCATGTATCATTTGATACGGCTAAAACGTGCCTCATCTAAATTACGGTCCCTTTGGCCCAAATCCGTTTCGGGATATTTGGAGTCGATCTAGAGGTGTCCGTCCATCCGTCTGTCTGTCTGCCTGGTCCGTACGATAACTCTCGTAGGGAGTATCCGATTTGGTCCAAACGTGGTACATCGTAATATTATTTTCAAACTTGGATCGGGTTCGGAGTTGTTCAATATTGGTCCACTCCTTCTGGTACCTCCCCCACAAAGGGTCAAAATTTTAAATAATTATAATAGTTATATATTAGTTATAATTATAACTCTTCAAAAAGTGATTTAGGAATCCGAATGCTTTCAGGTGGCGTCCGTCCATCTGTCTGTCTGGCTGGCTGGGGCGGACGATAACTATCGAAGGGAGTACCCGATATGGTCCCAATTTGGTACATCGTAATATTATTTTCAAACTTGGATCGAATTCGGAGATGTTCAATATCGGTACACTCCTTCTGGTACCTCCCCCACAAAGAATCAAAATTTTGAACAATTATAACTCTTAAAAAGTGGTTTAGGAATCCGATTGCTTTCAAATTACACAAATCATAATATTTTTATTAACCCAAGGTCTGACGTGAAGGTGGACAATATCGGTCCACTTCGTCTGGTACCACCCCCACAAAAAATTTTTAAAGATAATAATTTACTGCACAGAAAGAGAAAGTATAATCCGATTTTGCTGCAACTTTGCGAATCCTAATCCATCAGTGCAGATGCGAAAATGTACAATATCGGTCCATTCCATCAAGTACTCCTCCCACAAACGGTCAAAATTTTGAATAATTAAAACTCTTATAAAACGTGATGCAAGTGTCCGATTGTCTTCAAATTACACACATCATAATATTTTTATTAACCGAAGTTCTGGTGTGAAGATGGAATAAATCAGTCCACTCCTTCTGGTACCTCCCCCACAAAGGGTCAACATTTTGAATATACACGAAGCTTACAGCACACGAAATTAAGATCGGATTTCATTCAGACTTGATACATTTC